GATCCTCAACGTATCTACCACTTCGAAAAGATTTTGTGGGCTTATCATCAGTGACTGAACGGCTTTAGCTGCATCCCCTTTTAGGCACTTTCTTAATCTTTGCATATTTTCTGCATCGGAGAACTGGCACAATCTGGTAGTGTTCTCCAGCTCTGCTATAAACGCTGGCCATTCCTCAGGCTTTCCACTAAACCATGGCAGATCTTTACTTGTTGACTGACGAGCGAAAAACTTCTGGGTCATACCGTCTTGAGGGTGCTGCGCTGCACTTAGTTGTTGTTGCTGGAGTAACTGCAACGTTTGAGCTACTTGAGTCATAACGGGAAGTAGATTGTCTTGTGGGGGTGGACTACGACGATGATCAAATGACTTCACTTCCTCCGCTCCTTTAAGTCGATCGACTCGCCGCACCAAATCTTCAAATTCTTCACGCTTCTTCTCAACATCATCTTGTTCTTCGGTTTCTAAGCTTTCTACATGCTTATCAACCCACTCAACCGTATCGTTCTTTACGACCTCAGGCGCCCCAGTACTCCCTTCACTATCTGACAAAATTTGCTCATCCTCTTGACTCTCAATAATAGCTTGAGCAAGAATCTTCTTCTTCGGTAACCGGTCGATTTCACCCTTGACTTTACTTATCTTCCAGTTAACCATCTTCAACTTCTTATTCAATTCACGAATCTCCCTTCTCAGGTTCTTCTCTTGATCTTTCATGTCCTTGGTTGTTTCACTAACAGGATCCAGCGCGATCAACTCTTCTTCTATCGTTTTGCACTGGTCCTCTTTCTCAAAAATATCAGCCTCGATATTGATAACTTCCAATTCTAACTCTTGAAATACTTGGATCTTCTCTTCCATCAACTCTTCAAATTTGACTTCTGCCAGCAACTTTTGTGACGTTGACGACCTGCTGCTTGTTGTTGACTTGAATGAGGACGACGACGACTTCTCGACTTCGGTGGGACTGCCAACTAAGAATCCCATCCCCATCCGCTGCAGAATCGACTTATCCTGGTTCTCCTTTCCGGCTGCTCCTCTGGTGACCGGCATCTTGGGAACAACAAACCCAAACAGAACAAACAATAATGAGAAATCGGTTCACACAATCGTTTCCAGGAACTGTCTCCACTTTAATCCTCGTCAAATGGAATGCTACGATCATGGATTAATCTCACCGGAATTACCCCCGAATGCTCAGGGTGGGGCCCACAAAGTGGAAATACTTCTTCAACTCCGGCAGATTCTTGACTTCTTGGATGTAGTGTCCTCAGAACTGACTCATCCGGTTCGCGAGACCAATGTTAGGGGCGCGACCCTCGACTTGACCAACTTGACTTCTCGATGATAACTCAGACTTATCTTGATGGCCGCGCTGCTCCTAATAGTTACTTTTACTTGACTTAAAACTTGACTTATTTCGTGTGCTAATGAACAATGCTTTTACTTAGACTTAAAGATGGTGAATATAACTTTATTCCCAAATAAACTGACCAAAATTGAAAACTTTACTTAATTTTTGGAAATTTAATGAGAATTTTTATTCAGCACAACTTTTCAGCATGAACATTACACGACTACTTCTTCTTGCACACTTCTTCCTACTGCCACGCATTTACACTAGTACAATATTAATCAATAGAGGGCGCATCAATACCCAAAATCGTCATGTCGGTTAGCTATCCGTCATTTTTTATGCTAAACTGTGACCTTTTCTGGGGGAGTATTTTAGTTTGGGATTCTTAACCCTCTTAACACCATATAGTACAACTATCCAACTAACTATTAAAAATTACCTGGACTTTGGAAAATCGAGTTCCTTCTTATGTTTTTACATTTTAATAAAAAAGACCTCCAATGTTAACCTTATGGGTTTTAAAAACATAATTTTAAAAAGGAAATTTCACGAAAACTAAATTTTGGGGACATAATATTTTGGACTCAGTATGTAGCCAATACTTTGAACTAACAATGGTCCAAATATAAAAAATTACAAAAAATTACTTTTCGAGAAAAAGCCTAAAAACTACAATCTCGATACAACATACTCATTTCATGGGACTTCACAAATACACTTTGTTCTCTCACTTATCACTTTGATGCGATCCCACGACAACCTCATAATTTTGATAAACTAAAAAATTATGTTCTACTACTAACGTTGTAGCATAACATAATTATTTTAGTTTATCCAAATTATGGGCTTATCTTACAAAAATTTGCTGATCCCAGTCACCCCACCCGATCGCACTAACCGCTACTGATCCTATGTATGACTAATTTTATGATATGGGACAGGCTAACTGATTACATGTTTTAAAAAAACTTATTCTAGTTCGATAAAATGTAAATGTGGTCATCTTGATTAACCCTTCAATCAGCATAAACTTATAAAATAATTTTTAATTACATAACAAACAATACCACCTGGTAAAAAACAAATGCAGGTTTGGATGTTTCATCGCCTTTGGTGATTTTTTGCAAGGGTTTCAAGAAAGGTGGTGTACCGGAAACATGTCAAAAATTGCGGTTCCACATTATTTCCGTGTTATGTTCGGCAGAATCCGATCTGCCTCATTATTCCCCACTACGCTGCGACAACCAGCCATGACTTGGGTGTATGTCGGCGGCAGATCGAAGTTAGATCGAACATCCTTCAGAAATTGTATTGCTAGTATTGCCACAAAGTTGGCCGGGTTGTGGTTCAGGATTGGCGTATGGCGACTTCCCGAATGCCGTTGGTGTGAGGATGTATTGGTTTGAGTTGAAACTGTTCGGATCCAGAATCATAATCACGGCAGGTCCAGATTGTAATTGGCCATCTTTTTTAAATATTCAATACTTATGAAACAAGAGAAACAACATTCCGAGCTGCATATTCCTGGTAGCGAAAAGTTGCAGAAATACAAGGGCAAAAGTCGCCGAAACGGTGCCACTGTCATGACGAAGGGACCATTCTATGCCATCTCGGCGACTCAAATATCAGTACCATTTCCGTGCCGACGATATTAACCGAACTCGTGTTGAATTTACCCATAATGAAACAATAGTTAACTTTCGTGGCCGAAATGACAGAAAAATGGTACCTTCGTCACGATAATGGCAACGTGTCGGCGACTTTTGTCCTCGCATTTCGGCACCTTGCCGAGACCAAGTACCTCTTCGGTACATGCCGGGATTGGAAGTAAGAGGAAAATCAAAAAATTACCCAAAATTTGTTGAATTTGTCGCATCTTCTTGGCTCGAAGCCAAAGAATATATATGCAAAAGGAGAAGAATCCAAGCACCAAGAAGGTGGACAAGGGTGACGATGTTATCAGATGGTGGACTAAAAAGATAAAATGTAACCGTTCAGTTCTCACATGTCCGTCAGTGAAGGAGGTAAAATTGAATGTTTACGTCTTCTCAAGCCACGCCATTCCTCATTCTGGTCTCGTCTAGCTGCATCCTGCTTTTGCTGATAGTCCGGATTACTCGATTCCCACCCAGCCCCACCCCCAGTTGCATTGTGGACGCCGATCAAAGGCATTTTCACAAAATTGATGGAAGGCAGTGGAATGAAAGCGGACAAGTAAATGAATTCGATAGGATGGGGATGAAGCAATCAATAACTTGAATAATTAAAATGTTGTGATCACTTTATTTCTGCCAAACATTGTAGCCATGGTTACAAGAGGTAGGCAAAAGTGGAATTGTGTTATGTATTCGTATGGATTTTGGGAATATAATCCAATCAAGGGACGAAGAATTAAATATTTTAGGTGTGTCGAATAGCGTTGGCTAAATGCCGGGCGAATAAATGCCCGGCATTTTGGGCATAAACCTTTAACTTTGTTGTATTCCGGGATATTATAAAATACAAGTGAAGACGAGGACATGATGGGTTTGAAATTTAACGATTTCAAGCAAATGACATACAAGTAAACTGATGATGACTTGGAAGAAATAAATTTGAGTAATTTAGCTAAAATTTACGAAGCATAATTTCATGACTATTCCATAAATAATTTAATGTAAATATCTTGCCAGGACTTTTATTTAAGGCGGACCCAGTCATTTAAAATTTTCATAGCTGTAAAGGTTATGATAAAGTATATAAAGCATTTATTTAAAATACTAGGGCGTCAACGACTCGTTACCTTGACTGGACATTTTGGTGCTGCAACTTACTGGTTTAAATTTTTCATAGAATGATAGTGTATTACTCTTCGGTTCAAAAATTAAAACCGGACTGTAACCATAGCAACAAACAAGGTCATAGCAACAAACATGAATACGAAATATGCATATGAAATACGAATATGAAATATAAAATATGAATATGAAATATGAAGCCTGATAATATTTATGGATGCTATGGCTGTAGCTATGAATAAAAACGAAATATGAAATATAGTAAGTCGTATGACATAGCAGCCTTGGTAGCGATAACCTCCATAGCAACAATAACAGCCTTGGCAACAATTCCAGCCATAGCTAAGATCAGATTTCATATTTCAAATTCATATTTTAAATCCATATTAATATTGATATTAATATTTTATATGCTTATTCATATTCATATTTCATAGTCATATTCATACCCATAATCATATTCACATTCGCCTTCGTCACATGAATCCATAGCAACAATAAGATCCATAGCAACAATATCCCAAAAATGCCTTTCCGCTGGCCAACTTTCATTCATACCCAACTAAATCATGTTTTTTTGTTTCGTCAGAGCTAGTTACTATGTCCAACTTTTATACAATACTCGATTTTGGAACGGATACATTTAACACGATACTGAAGTGTGGAATGACAAATCACAAATAAATTCTTTTAAATTGTGCTGAGTGATTTAGTGAAATGCAACAATCAATTGCTCTTTCCTAGAAAGTGTCCTGCTTGTTCACCTCACCAATTAATCCACTACACAGTTCAATGACCCATTTGGAATTTAGATTTATCACAATATCATTAAAAGTGAAATTTTGGCTGGACAATAGTCTGCATTTATTATATATTCAACCGGACGTAGATAATGAGCAGTTCATTTAAACCAACAGGAAGTCCTGGATTCAGTGTGGGCAATGCATTGTGTCCAAAATTACAGAGCAGAATTCAATTTCCGACTTGACACTATTGCAATTAAAGAGTTTGCCTGACAACTTGATAAATTCCCCCAGTCGTAAAATGAACTCGTTTTGAAGAGTACAATTTATCCTCAATTTTTTCGTAAATATGGAAAAAGTTCTGAAAACATTTTTTGACGAGACTCTTAAAAATATTCATTCCAAGGACAAGAATACGGTCAGTATTTGCAAGGATGTCATGGAGCGTCTCAATCTTGTCCTTACAACTTCCGGTTTCCATTACAACTTTGTAATTCATAATCTGAGAGATGATTACGAAATCGGTGTTATTGGACACAAAGCATATGAATCGTATGCAATAACTACTTTTAGCTAGTTTATTTATTTGGAAATATGTACATTTATTAATTTCTTGTAGCTTTGACATTGGAGAAATGAAGTTTGGGATTTGGATCTTTGAATCTGGAACTTTTTCATACAATGGATCTGCAAAGCGGAATATTTGTGTGGGTGGATACAACCGAGGAAGTTTCATAGAAGTTTACAATCCTCCATTGAAGGGAGGACTCACATTCACAAAACCGGAAGTGGGGGTGGAAGAGAAGAAGCGAAAAGTTTTGAAATTCTGTCCGAACAAATAAAACCTCGTATGTAGATGAATAAGGGAACAAAATTCAGGCCTGGTTGGCCAACAAAATTGCGTCAACTCACTTATTCTTTCTTTAAGCGCGTAAAGTTTTAACAATTTACTTAATTAATCCGTCAGAAATTGAGTGACGATTGAAATTAACCATGTAAACATTCACCGGTAGATTTGAAAACACAAGAGAAGTAAATAACGGAAAAAAAGTTAAAGCGAAATACATGGGTGTGGGGCGGGTTAAGTCGTAATTCTGTGCTTAATTTTCTTAGCCAATCAGAAATGAGGAAAATGACGTCAGTGTTTAATAAAAATTACCCGTCTACTCACCTTTACGCGATTACGGGCTTAAAGAATGAATAAGTGAGTTGACCCATTATTTAAATTTACCGGGATTACTATTTGTCTAGTAGAGATGCCAGGATCCGAGTCTCATTAATCGGAATACTTTCATCTACCCAACTGTGCATTCAAACGCACCTTTCATTAATCCTATGTTAGGTAACAATTAGTATATGAACCATTGTGTAACCTAACCTGTTTCCAACTTATTCTAAATAAAAATATCACTGCGTGTCTTACAACAAATAACCAGTGCAAAATAAAATTTGAAAACAAACTACTTTTCTTCTTCGATAATTAATTTCACGATTTTCTCAGTTTTACCTAAAAAGACTGAAATTAAGCAAATTTGACATTTTATGACGCTTAACTATTGTCCCCTGTCATTTTGCTATCGGTAGGACATCATCATAAACCCATTTTTTATTATTTTTATGTGAGAAGTGTGAATGCATGAAGTTAGTTACATATACACGAATTTTACATTTTACTACAGATTAAGTTGCGTTAAGTTAAGTTGCCATGGAATTATGAAATTAAATGATAGCAATTTCAGAGATATTTTTTTGAAAATGAAAATTGTGTTACTACTGGATATTATCCCTTCATAATTATTTTTCTAGCCATAAAATTATCCCTTTATTATCATATTTCTTGACCACCCTGTACGTATTACTTATACATACACATAGCTCAAAATATTTATAAGATATGTGAGTCAATTTCCTATATTCGTTAGGTACAAGATTTTTATATGTGAAATACATTTCATGAATTTGATTTGTGAGGCGTTTTGTGAAATCCTTTTCTGAGACGCGATAATATTATTCCATTTCATAAATGTCTCAATTCTTCCAGACGTTACACTCAGCATCGGATTATGTATATAAATATATTATCCAAACCTTTTTATTAACTACACATTGACTGAGGCTAAAATTTCACACTGTGCAGCATACATACATCTGTATTTTGACTCGGATTGGACTCAACAAGGCTGGACATATTTATGTAATATAAGCGTGCAATATTTCAATCTCAACATGCCTTGGAAATTGACATTAATATATCTGCCAAAGTGTTAAGCAGATGATCTCACAATTAATACCTTGTCAATAGAGAGGTAGAGATTGGTGTATTCTAGTCGACTCCAATTTTTGAGGTGACTCGTCGCCTCTACAATAGAGTAAAGACCGACGAAATGAGTCTCTACTCGGAATTTATTTTGATGTAGATTAAAAATACGCACGTTGATAAATTGAGGCACAAATATGGGTCAGAGCTTCAACTGTAATGGCTCGTGTGCAAAAAGTTATTTGATAATTGTTGAAAATCTTGGCTAATTTGTATTTGTCTATGTTTGCAAAAGGTGTTACGCACGAAATTCCTAGAGTTCCCGTATTGTTAAAAGACCTTGTCACGTTTGATACCAGAATTTAAGATGAGGTGAGCGGAAGTCTAATTTGCCAGAAAAATGGAAAACGAAGTTTTCGGTAGCAGGTTTAAATTGTGTCTTAGTGCTTGACTGCTTAACATATGTTGTATTAATGCAATGCGATGGAGAATGCTTTGGGATTTCACTAATGTAAAAAAAAACTTCATTTACAAAAATTAATTGGCAAATAAGACAAATTGATCGAGACTAACTTCTACATCGTTATTAGATAATTGGAGAAATCTGTATTCCAACGTAGCTGGATTCTAGAGTTGTATTCTAGTGATGATATTTGTACTATCGGCGAGAGAGTTGATTTTACGATCCTAGATCTACACTCAATTTCATTTTGTACTTCAAGTGACTGAGAGTCTCAATTTACCAAGGCGCGAATTTTGAATTCAAGTTCCGAGTAGGGACTTGCTTCATCGGTCTGTACTCTATTGTAGAGGCGATGAGTCGCCTCTAAAACCGAAGTCGACTAGAATACACCAATCTCTACCTCTCTATTGACAAGGTATTAATTGTGAGATCATCTGCTTAGCACTTTGGCAGATATATTAACGTCACTTCCCAAGGCATGCTGAGATTGAAATATTGAACGCTTCAACTCTGTACCATTAAATGTCACACCTATCCTTGTTTAAAGCATACCAACTTATAACCAGTGGTTAGCCTTATTTATGCAGATTTTTGGATCAACTCTCGAAACCAGACATGTCAAAATGGATCAGTATTCTAATTAGATTGGCAGTTCTACTTAAGCATTTAGTTGGCTGCTGTGTGTACATTTCGCAGCCAATTTCATCTGTACATTGTGCAAAATAAAATTTACTTGATTCCATCATGTGGAAAGAAATCGTCTATTCCTGGTTTCTCGCACTCCAGGGATTTAACTTACTTGCAAATGTGACCCCTTATGAAGCGAAAAGTGTGGTCGGTTTTGGCGAAACCTGTAACAACACAGTTTCCTGCGATTTGGTCAAGTTTCTGACCTGCAATGAAACCATTGGGCGCTGTATGTGTGCCAAGGAGGACAAAATGGTATATTATTACAGGGTTGGATGCCAGTCAGTTGTTGGTGAGCGATGCTCCAGAAGCACAGACATTGTCAACCAAGACCCATTTCAACATAGTGGGGCCGCCCTGGTGGGGGTACGGACTACTACAGAGGCATCCCTAAGAAACGATGGTGATAACAGTGAGAGGGAAATAGATGCAGAAATTCTACGGGTCAAATGGTAAAATTTAAAAGTTGTACTAAATAAAAAGTTATAATCCGGTTTCTATTCGTAATTAATTTAGGCCCGAGATGGCCAGCTGTATTAAAGGGGCAATCTGCAACGAACTAGGAGTTTGTCAATGTCCCCTTGGCCAATTCCAGAATGGAAATCATACATGGATGTGATAATTTACAGTATGGCTACCCATTTCTTGTGGCAAGATTGGATTTGAGCAATGGTGAGCTTATCTTTATTAATTATTTCTTGCCTTCCCTTCCCTCTGAACTAGGAATAAAAAACGCCTTCCTATGCTACCGAACCTGAAAAACAATCTCCATCCCTTCTTTGTATACCGAATCATGTTTTCAAACTAGGAAAGCAAAATTTCAGTTTCTTCCTTCCCAGCGAAATTAAAAATGAAGAAAGTGAAATGTGAATTAACACAGTTTTATCAAATAATGAGATTAGTAAGAATATAAATCAGCACCAAAAAAGCACCGTTCGGACTGCATATACTAGGTAATTTGCCGGAGGTCATTTTCACCGGTATATAAATTAATTTAAGACAATAATTCAATTACTTGCTGTTTTCGCAGAAAAAATTCAAAGTCTCTGAGAATGGCTTGTGTTAATTTTTTTTTTGACTGGGCGGCTGAATATGGGTCGTCTCTACACACGGACACATTGAAAAGACTAAAGATTTGCTATTTAAAATTACCTTCCCTTCTTTCCTTCTACAACTTCCAAAAAATATCTCCCTTCCCTTCCTTCCTAAATTTCCCAATAATATCTGCCGTCCTTTCCCACCCAAATTCCCAAAAATATTGGCCTTCCCTCTTTGCTTTTCCTTGGAAGGGGAGGGCCCATCTCTGAATTATTTGGGATATTATGGGCGCATGGCATAATTGAACATTTAAATTCCTGTTACAAAATTGTTTTTAAGTGACATACGACTTGAAGGCGCAATTTCTCGGCTAGCTGTTTATAAATAGAATTCCAAAGAGAATAGAAAGATCAACGTGCAATGTGATGACATTATCGGTCTTATGACTATTTAAGAGATTGTCATTCGCAGGGGAGGTTTGTTATCATGATTTTATATGAAACTGATTCTGAATAAAGATGCAATTGCGTAAAAGACCTTTACCCAAATAATTACTAGGTACAATGCAAGGGGGTATTCTCACAGCGTACATAAATGCATATGGAAGCTCATTTATTTTATTACAAGATTAAAAAGGTGGATTTACTACCAATTAAGGATCACTCGATTTACTCTTCATTAATCATCATCATCCCAACTGTCTTTCACTTTCTCTGCACCAGTTTCCTCTAGGTCTTCACCATCCCACAAATCAGCTTTAGCACTGACCACTGGACCAATTTCAGAATCATTCCTTACTTGAAAAGTTAAATTGTCACAAATTTGTAAATATCATGCAAATTGCTTTACGATATGTACGCAATACCTTGACCTGTGTAAGTTTCTGGATCAATGTTAAAATCACAAACTATTCCATAGTGATCACTAATGCAATACTTGCCTCCTGCCACAATTTCTTTTCCAATTAGTTGAAAAGATCTAAAAAATTAAGTAATTTTCAACAAAGTTGAAACCACTATGTGCTTAGAATGAAATAACTTAAGATCATTTCTTAACGACCTTGGCGTAACTTTGAAGTTCTTCTTACTTTCTCGGAAATAAATTCTGTCAAACCGCTTAAATGGTTGTGCATGGGATGGACGAAAATGGGTTATTTTATCAGGGTTCAGATCAGGAAACTATGGAGTACACTACCAAAATTAATAATTCATCATAAATCGATAATTCAAATAAATAATGTCTCACACCTGAATGAGTTTGTTCACCCTCAAATCCCAAGTACATTCTGAATTTTTATCCCTACCGAATGCCACCCAGACATCGTAATCCTGAACGTTCTTAGGAACAGTGACGTATTTAAACTGGTGTGGACAAGTAAGTTTTATGATAAAGAACAAGAATGGGGTCGAATATAAATATCGTCATACCTCCCAGTCCCTGACGTTCAGACTCCCACTAAATATCACATTAGCGTCTCCTTCTCTAGCTTGAAATATTTTGAAGCACTTCTGCAACTGTTGAACCCTGACGCGACTATTATGAATCATGCTCTCCAAGTGTGTGTTCAAAATACATAATTTGGTGTGACCGATTTTAACCTCGGTTTTTAGGAGACTCCTTAGCTCACCTATTAATAAAATATAAATTTTACCATTCAAAGCGGAAGGAGGGCAATTGTCGTTCTCTTGGAAATAGCATTGCTGCGGGCGGAGGACAATAGTCATCCGAAAAATTATGCCCTCGTGTTGGAGGCAGACAATTGTCGTTTTTTCAATTTCTTTCAAATTTTTGAACTGCGTGACCTTGCCAACTGACAAAACACGTCGATATCCCAAATTTTACGTGGCCCGTAGCATTACAAAAGTCCAATTTTCTCGCTAGAAATATACGAATTTCATCATGGCGTTGGTATGGGGAAGAGTCCCTGTATATTTTTTTTTAAACTCTAATTCAGATGAAAAACTCGCGATCGGCGCGATGGCATCAATTTTTAAGACGCCTTCCGCAGCAATGCAATTTCCGAGACGTAATTTCACGAACTAAATGGTTAATATAATAAGCACTACAATTTGTTCCACTGAAAATACCTGTCCTCTCAAAATAAACAATGTTGGACCCGACCAGTGACACGGTGGCTGTACGTATCAACGTAAACGTTCCCTCGTAAAAATGATCGTCCTCGAAGTTTCTACCAGCACTGAATTTATATAACCCGGCCAGCTTGCATTTAAGATATCTCGCAAAAAATACGTTCACTTCTTGTAACAATATAATGTCGAACATCTCCCTGTGGAAAGAAATATGTAAAACAATTTGTGGGAATAAATTAATTGTGGGGGTTACCTTTTTATCAGTTCTTCAAGAGCAAAGACCCTTGCGGCATTGTATCTAACTGTCAAACCGCCCAGATCCCAAGAAACGATGCGAAGCTTGTCTACCTTTATTTCCTCCTTTTTCACAGGTAACTCTTTTTTGTTTCCTTTTTCATTTAGTCGAAGATAGTTCAAGAGTTCGATTGAGCCTATTGTAGTTTCGTCTAGCTCTTTTTTAAATTCGTCGCGTAGTTCAGGAATTATTGTAAGCAATTGTGGATTTATCGGGTGAGGGCGAAACAAAGACCGGACTGATGGTGACTGAAGACTAAGTCTGAAATTGAGCATGTGAACAAAATCGTAGCATTCTTCGTCATTTAGTAACTCCTCCTTAAATAGGGCGACGACCTTTTCGTAGAGTGCCTGTACATTGAACGGGGTCGTAGTAGAAGCCTCCGAAATTAACTGTTATGTTAAGTGGAATAATGTCGATTAAAATTTTTAGGTTTATGATAAAGCAAATTTGTCACCTTTTCAGGATCGTCATATTTCTTGACTTGGATATCCACAGAACTTGCGGCGGCCTCGTCACCTTCTCCATTATCCTCTTCTTGTCCCATTGACTGAAAATCAATGTCTTTCATCGGCTCCATTAATTTTTCAAAGTTAGAGGCCATTGTTGTTTCTGGGCACAAACAAACTATATTTTAGAGCAATTACGTATGACCTACACAGCAAAAAATCCGATGGTGTTAATTTAGGTGTTAATTTGTCACCGTTTAATGTAAATTTTGTCCCCAATGGTGTCATAATTTTCACCACACTGTAAAATTTAACACCACCGCGAAAGGTGACTCCACCGCCTTGATGTCAATAATTTTTGAAACCACACTGTGACAAGTTAACACCGCATGGTGCCAAATTAACACCACATGGTGATAAATTAATACCACATGGTGACAAATTAACACCACACGTTGGGTGGATATGTGACTACCCCGGATTTTTTGCAGTTTACTTAAATTATTGTTGGTTTCAAAACTTTATACAACCTGCTGTACCTTGACAATTCGGACTTGAAGGGTGTCACGTAATTAAAAATCCACGCTGTGTTCTACTAGATCATTTACCAAAATAAGTAGTCTTATAATTAATATGGAGTTGTATATTCTTCTTTCAACATTTTCCAGCTGACAGACTGAACCACTACAGTGACGTGTGTATCTATTGCGCAGCCCAAAGTTTCACCATTTACTTTGTTCACCCAGAATGAAAGTCATATCATGTTTACACAAGCCAAAACAAATGCACATATCTATATTCAATTAGGATGGACGTGTATATTTGTGTATATGTGCATATCTACTTATATTCAGTCGTCAGATTACAAACTCACTGTGCCTTTATGCAAAGACTTAAATTTTAAAGTCGTTTAACACAAATTTTTATTATTGATAATTCTGAACTGTTTTTTTGTAAAATTAATCTTCAAAATTTGTTGTTAAAGTAAATAATCACTCCTAATCATATATTCGCTGAGTAAATTTTAATAAACTATTGAGCCATGTAAAGGGTAGATGGGGTGATAAATAATCAATAAATAATTAATAAATACTCTATGTCCAACGTCAGTACGGATTTTAAAAAGTTTATGAACAATCCACAAAACAAGGCTAAACAATTATTCTAATTGACATGATTCTGGTTAATGTATTTAGTCAAAATGCAATGTAGTTGGCAAAATAAAAAATACTTTGGCATATTTGACAAAATACGTTTAACACGACTAGGGTTCTACATTTGCACCATTTGTCATGTCAAAATGACATGACAATTAAGGCAATTAAGGCAAGGACAATTTATTTTATTTTTACATACTTCTTCAATTAGCAAAGATTTTATGACTGAACACTAAAGTGATTCAGCTCAAATCCCGGAAGAACTTAATTTGATCACTTCATTTGGTTTTTGCCAAGGTGACGTACAGGTCAAAGGTGGTAATGGAAGAAAAACTGCTTATGAATCCATTATTCACAATTACTTATCTCTATGTTTGTACACAGTAAGGGCTGGATTTATGTAAAGCATATGAATCGATTCAGGCTATTAATAATTTACTTACTCAGTTTTGATGTTATATGAATGCAATCTTCACATAGCACAGCATTTTAACCCCACAGCGGACGGTTGCCTATACCTGGTGCGCAGTAATACACAATGACAGAATTGATCATATTGCGCTGCACTACTTTAGTTTCTAAGTTTACTTGGATGTGGTCAATTTTGTTAAACAACTGCACACGTGTATTTGGTAACATTGAGCATGTTGAAACATATGCTGCTAACTATTTATATTTGCATATACCGTTACACATTATCAATTGTAAATTTTTCTATTCACTTCTTCGTAAGCACAGCATGATACTAAAACTGAACAGAACATTACTTGAACAACCAAACACACGCGTTACACTATTGACCTCACAAGTCCGATCTCTGTAAAATCAGTGGACCAAGAAAATCGTCGTTTACACAAGACGTATACTCCAAGAAGTGGGCGAATGAATGGATGGATGGAATTATGTGTATAATATCTAAACTCCTCCAGCATGAGGATTGTACAAAATAATAAGACAACTTTCATCATATTGGGATAAGCCAGCTTCATATAGTTATATTTATCGTAGTCAATGCTCTGTATTTGCATGATGGTGCAAATAGTATTTAATACCTATATTGGCGAGCAAATAGGCAGGAATTGGATGGATCGGGTATAAAAACATGCCAAAATTACGGATTTATAATACATTCTGAACAAGCCACTCAACCGTAAGGTTTTGGAACCAAAATATTTGCAAATCTCTCTCCATGTACATAACTAACAAACAAAGCATCACAAAATTATTAAGAAATGTGTACAGATGGAAATAGTAAGTGTGTAAAATATTAAAACCAGTTTTCGCTCCATGTCAGTCACACAACCACACCACGTGCAGAGTATTTATCCAAGTTTATCCAAGTGTAGTTGTATAATTCTGCAATAATTCAAGGCTTTCCCAACAAGGAAATCGGCTAAGGAAATTTAATAAAATCGTCCCATTTTATTTCACGACGGCATCTTCAGAACAACACTTGGCTTTAAATATGGGAAAAATCGGGGTCTTAAATTTGTGCCTTTCTCTATTTTTGCTTAACCTCCAATCGTTGGCACGAGGAGACAGTCATGTTGTTACAGAGTTCAATGCAACCGAGGATAGCAAACTATATCGTGGCCTCGTATTGCAGAATGACCTAGAAGTTGTGCTTATTTCTGATAGTAACAAACATCACAAAGCTGCAGCTTCCCTAATAGTTTCTGATGGTAAGTGGACCATTTATTTTAAAGTTTCTAGCGACGTCTTTAATTTTACGTTTGTCCAGGTTTCATGGAAGATCCTCCCCAACTTGAAGGTCTATCACATCTCCTCGAACATCTGTTGATTATCCAGAGCGTAAAATATCCCGAGATAAATTCACTGTACAAATTTATCCTTGAGAACGATGGCACAATGCAGGCGACAACTTACTGTGACAGGGTGGAGTATCACTTTAATGTCACTGCAGCAAAACTGTTTCCAGCTCTGGACATTTTTTCGCAACTCTTTATCGCACCTTTATTCACGGAAAGTGGGATCGAAAAAGAAGTCCGTGTGGTGAATATTGAAGCACAACATTACTCAGAAGCCAATTCCTTTGATCGGTTAAAAATTAGCAAAATACTCTATGCCGATGGTCATCCCGTGACAAGATTTTCGGGAGGTGTGCGAACACACGTGTCAATAAAGTTTAAGAAATGTTTGTATGTGCAGAATTTCATGAGATTGATATTTACAGGAATTTTATTTTCTTGCATTTCAGGAGACTTGACAACTTTATGGACGAATCCAAAACTGCATGGGATCAATTTAACGTCCGAATTGAAGAATCATTTTAAAACGTATTATTCCGCAAACCTGATGAAATTGGTTGTCTCGGGAAGTCAAGATTTGGACATTTTACAAAACAAGGTTGCAGAAATGTTTGGCCAAATAGCTAACCATAACGTGACACGTCCGTCATATCCAGATCCAATTAAACCCGAAAATGGTTCCATTTATAAGGCTGAAATCCTACCAAATTTTTTACGGAAGGTTGAGGACGACATGTTGCTAATGGATTTCAGTTTTTATACCGACGACTACATAAATGTTTCTTTGCTGGTGAGATTTATGAAATATTTAAGTGATAATACTTGAATTATGGATACTTACTTTGCAAATTCTTGCTCCACTTTAGAGGCAAGGCTATCTCAAACCGTTACTAGAATACGATAGGGAGGGAAGCCTGATAAATATTTTGCAAAATGAGGGTTTAATAATTGATTTAAAAATGGAGTCTGTTAATATTCCGTCATTTTCAAAATTTGCGGAATTATACATCTCGATCAGATTAACACGGGATGGACTCTTAAACTATGAGGATGTCATTTGTCGCATTTTTCAGGTAGTGCATAAATTAAATTCTTTGTCAAAATTATAAATTATAAAATCGACAATTTTTTCCCAAGTTCTTCAACAATTTGGAAATATTCGGTCTACAAGACTGGTATTGGAAGGATTCGATCAAAAATGTAAAAACTAAATTAAGTCAAGGAGTGGCCGATCAAGTTCAATTAGTTTCATCAATATCAGGCTGGATACATGTAAGCTGTGACGATTTTCAGAGTCACCATGATTTATTTTAGGAAAGTTTTTGACATTTCATTGAATGAAATTTTGTGTAGCACCTTCCAATTCAGAAAGCAATAAATTCTTGGTATCATACTAATTTTGATCCATACAATAACAATACTTGGAATTTAATATTGGCAAAATTGACTCCTAAGCATTTAAGGTAAAAGCCAATTATTTATTTATTGATTACCTGTAAACTAGGTCTTATAATTTTTTCTTAGGATAAAAGTGTCAGGAATTGCGGTAGTGCAAAACAAGACGATTTTGGTAGATCGTGTGAGCGGGGTTGAATATTATGTAGATACCGTTCATTCAGATATTGCAAATGTGAGGAATATGCACATAAGTTCGTATCCACCAAAGTGAGCAGTAATAATTCCTCGTATTAAATGTTTGAATAGAAATGGATGAAATGTCGGTTTTGCAACGAATCCCATAATTTTACACTTCCGGTTCAACCAACTGTTGAAGTTGACGAGGTACTTGACCTAGATAATATGGAAATCTTTACAAAATATGCCATAAATTGTAATAGTGTCTTCCGTATAAAACAGGAATTCCCCTTGTTCAAAGAACGCCAATTGAACTCTTCACTGTCCACGATATCATTTATCAGATATTCTTATTGTGACTCCTCCTGGGCCAAACTTGAAATATACAGGTCAGAAGGAGTGAAAAAATAGAAGGAAACCTTGTCTCCACTGAGTCTCTATTTTATCAGTGTTTTCTATCGCAGCCCCTTTTCCTACATTGATCCCCGGTCAGCCGCACTAAATTCAATTTTGTTCCACTCCTTGAAACGTGTGTTGAATCGAGTGTTGATTTCTGACCCGGAAATCACTTTAAATTCGATGGTGCAGAATAAAAATTGGATCGGGGTATCGTATTGAATTTACGTATTACACTAAAATACAATTTTATTTAATACTAACTAAACCTAGATGGAGTTTATGTGGCATTGTACAAAAATCGGAAGACTTATGTCCCTCATTGGGGATGTACTGCAAGCTGCAAATAATTTAACATTGTTTACCCCACGAGAATTTCAGCTTTCAAAAGCTATCTATCTGGCAGAATTAAATGCAAAGCTCGAATCAGCTCCATGTAGACAGGTCGACGTGCATGAACTGTTACAATCAAAGGTTTGGCTGACCCAAGATATTCTCCCATTTGTGGGTGGTAAGTGCCAAAGGAGGACAGTAATGAATGAAGTATTGACACTATAGTATTTTATTTTTGATAGAATTAACACTAAGTGATATGGAATTGTATACGAAGAAATTTTTTTCCCGCATCCGTTTTATGTGGTACATAGATGCCAGTTTATACGCAAAGGTATGGGGTGGGGTATGCTTTAACAATTTTGCAATTAGTGATTAGAGGTGGTTACACATTGGAGTTACAGTGAAGTTGTAACTTGTAACGCGTTGGTGACCAACTGTTACCAAATCGGTATAGTTGTGCTATTGTGATCGCGTACCTACATGCTAACATGAACCATGTTACATGTACATGCTAATCGAAGTATATGCAAAATTATAGCAAATTAGAAAATAGTTACAAATAATCGAAATGTTTCCCCAACTAGGATTTTATGCCCCTAGTGGTTGATTTTGAAAAGCCATTTCTCATTTCCGGATCAAAGGAACTGCTTTCTAAGGAAATCGTAAAACAAAGATTTGTCGATATACCTGCTGGTTCGTACACAGTACACTTGTTAAAACCAAACATTGGGTTTATGCAGTTGTTACAGAGTCCTTTAACAGGTTCTGCATGGCTTTACTCTCAAAACGGAGTCAACTTTCATAAAACGTCTTGTGCAAAGGTTTATCTTTTTCATATCTCAAAAAATGATTGGGACAACGATTTAATCCAATTAACCAAACTAATGATGAAAGCGGAAGCTCTTAACCGACTCAGGACAAATGAAACACTTGGATATCGTGTCTTCACGGAGACCTATTTCCTCAATAAAAGAACGTCGTGTGTATCGATAGCTGTGGATTCACTGAAAGATCCGTATTTCGTTGCAGAGCGGATTCATTCCTTTTTAAGAGATTTTGCCGTAAATTTTTTCACCTATAATATAATTATGAATAAACTTAAATGTAAATATTACCGTTTTTTAGGAAAGTCTAAAAAATATGACGGAAGAGCACTTGTCCACCACGATTTCGACACACCAGTCCTTAAATTATCTTAAAAACGAGACTGGAGCAAATGAGTTTATTCAATTTTACGAGGTTTCAAAATAGAAGAATACAAAATAACAATTTTCTACGTGGTGGAAACCATTCAATTTCTAATTATATTTACTTTAAGGAGCTTATCGGACTTCGAGAAGGTCAGACAAGGCGACTTACAATAATAACTCCGTCTGTGGAATACGCAACAAAAGAGTACAGTAAAGCTGACGAGCTGAGCTTGAACTCGGTAAATACTTTATTTTATATTTATAAATCAAAATATTTAGTTAATTATTAATTAACACTTATTTCTTACGTAGACCTACATCAAAAATTTTGACGATTGGAAAAAGACGTTAAAACTCCAGGAAGAGAAGTTTACTTGAAGTTAGTCACGTCATGCACATTTAGTTGTTAACCGGATAAAATTCAAATCTGGGTTGTTCATTATTTTAATCGATCGGCAATTAACTTTGTAATTGGTACTACCGATCAATAACTTAATCAAGAATTTATGCTGAATGACTTCTTCATATGTAGATCTCGGTTAAAAGTTGTATCGACTTTATCAAACTATTTAAAATTTCTCGAAAATAAATATAGGTTATTTGTGAGCTTTCAACAACCTTACGACATTGTTTCGACAAAGTTTCGACGTATTCGAAAAACGGTGTTAAAAAATTAAATGTATGCCCATTTCGGACTAAGTTATGCAGAAATAACCTTTTATCTTGATTTTAACGCCATCGACAACTATAGTGGCGTCAAATAACGCCATGACCGTTTTCGAAAATATTGGCCAAATTATATGAAATCGAAAATTTAAGTTGTTGTTAATATGTGTATGTATATTATGTTGTTAATTTGTGGATGGTCATGACCTGTGACCTTGTCTATTCGCCATGACTGTTTTTGTGCCATCGATGGCGAGGTGGAGGGATAAAAAGTGTGGTAGAATTACTACACGTGCAAAGTTGGTGCCGCTCGTGTGAGGAAATTTGAGACCGTGCTGTGATGCCATTTCTCTTCCTTTTCTCACTGCTCAAGTGGCCGAGTTGAGTAGATGTGGCAACATCTACTCTGCTCTGCCAAACTTATGACTTTGGATAAATCAGACCACTTGAAAAAATTTAGCCTTGAAGTTAAGGGAGGATGATAATCAATTAGATTGTCATCTAGAGTAATTAAACCCGATATTTGGTTTAATTACTCTGAATGAAACTATTACCTGATGAAACGACGGTAACAAAGCAAAATAAACAAAGGAAAATAAAAATTGCAATATTCCTATCAGGATAAGAAATACATGTGACGCCATTTTTTGCAATCTGTCCCGTATTACTAGTGGAATATTGTACGCAATTTAATGAAACGTGCAAATAACATATTAATTTCCAAAGTCCATTAATATCAATAATTATTCCCAAAATGTTGTTTATGCTCAAAGAAGTATTGGATTGTTTCTATTTCTCATGCTACTTCATCTCATGATAATACCATGATGGTATTAATAAAAATTATCAAGTGCGTATTTGACAAATTGCTACATATAATTAAAAAAAATTCCCGATATTTGACTGCCTTGCGAATAATGCTTGAATTTTACCTGTTTGCTCAATAATATTTACAACCCATGCTGAATGTATCAAGTTTGCAAAGTAATTTTAATTTCTACATCGTATTAATTTAGTATTACATAAAATAGTATAGTATAGTTTTGGTTTATTATTCGCAAAAATTCATAGCCATTACAATTCAAAAGAACAATCGAACCCCGTCATACAGGAAATACTCACAAATATGAAGTTAAAGTTATATATAAGAAATAAATTATTTGTTAGCATACACGTTGAGTAAATTTCAAAATTCTAGGAGCCAGCACAATCCAAAAAAAAAAGATTTGTAAGACAAAACAGCATTATTACACACTAAATAATAATATTTTGAATTATAATCGGTATTCATATTAATAATACATTTGTGTAACCTCTTTAAAACATTAAGGGATCCACATCTTGACCATTATTGGTATTACAGTCCACTACCTCGGCCTCGTCTTCGCATCCTCTTCCTCCTACCTTAGTCTCCGGGAGTCTTATAGTTCTTTTCAAACGGTGAACCTTCCTCAGATGATTTTTCATCATAGTCTCGTCCTGGAACTTTTCCTCACATTGGACACATTGCACGACCAACAATTCAGGATGAGCCTCCTTCCGATGCATCCCAAGGCTTGAAGAATGTTCAAATCCGACCGCACAGATACTGCATTTACACTTCCCTGACCCATGAGTGCGGTAGTGTGCCTCATATTGACCTAAGCTTGTACACTTTTTTCCACACGCTGTGCAATCCATCCCACCCGGGATCACTTTCCAGCTCTTCTTCTTTGCCAAAGCCTCGTCCTGGTTGGCCTGGAATTTTGCAGCGAGTCCAGTCTGCCTTGCAATAGTGCAACGCGACCGTACATGCGCCAACATGTTCCCCTTGACCGAAAACTTTGCACCGCACCCCGCCTCGCAAGAATGTGGTTTCACTCCGGTATGTTTGTTCAGATGATTTTTCAAATTATTTTCTGACTTCGCGACGTAGTTACACTGCGGACAGACAAATGTCTCCTTTTCGGACCTCTGTGGCCGAATCGCGTGCACAGTCCAGCGATGATTTTTCAGTCCTCGCTCCGATTTGAGTCTCGTGGTGCAAAGGTCACATGAGAATTGGCGTGTGAAAGTGGTCAGAATCACTTTGGTGCATTGATTGTTTTAAGTGTGTAGATAATGAGCTATTCACTCGAAAAGCAGAACTGCAATTGGGACAGACGAATGGTTTTTCTGAAAATAAATAAGTAGGAAATATCTATGAGAATTAAAAGTTAAACAATATTACTAATTTTTTGCACAATATTTAGTTACCGCTTTTATGCCATACTATATGTCTTCTCATTTGGGCCGGCCAGTTGCACGTCCGTGGACAGTGGGGACACTGTATAATTTTGGGCGGCTGGTACACCTCCCTTCGCCAATTTCTTCTCTGCCGCATGAATCCACGACTCAGCTCGGCCAATTTTTTAGAATCGTTCTCCAATTCTGGCCATTGGGGGGTGTGAGTGAGCTCGTGCATCTTAAGGAATGTCCAGAATGCAAAGCCTGCAGAACACGTGCCGCACTTGAAAGGTTTTTCCCCTTTGTGTTCTTGACGGTGGGCGTATAAGGCTTTTTTTGTGGGAATTTCCCCTCGCAGATATAACACGTTTGAAGCGGAGTGTCTGTAATCTGAAAATTATAAAAAGCACAAGAAATCTTTATTGTTAGCTAGCACTAATCACAATAATAAGTTTTCCAAATTATGTAAAATTATGTAAATACCGCTGTTGCGGTGCGGTCATCGGAATCGCCAATTAAGTCATCTTCATCATCCACTTGCTCTTCATCGTCATCCATGTGATCATAAACTTCAATTTTTTCGTCAACGTCGCCATTTTCATTTTCCTCGTCTATAGATAAGTCGTCAAACATTGGCACATTGGAACCAAAAAATTCCACTCTTTGCCAAAATTGAGATTTTTTTGATAAATTGAGTTTCCTAAAAAATGCAGTACATAAATTAATCAGACATTCAATAGTACGGCATAGCCAAAAATAAATAAAAATATTTACTCACAATAACCCCATCGTAACGTCGTCCTCAAGTATAAGAATATTTATCTCATGCTTTTCTAAAATGTGTAACGCAATTGCCGGCTCGTGAGGGAGATAATCTTCACAAATTTCACACATCCATCTCAAACGGTTAGAATTCGCCATTTCTTTTTACTTTTTACGCTTTACACTCGTTATATTATTATTATGCGACTTACTGAAGTTTTGACTTTCACAAATCTAGGTTTTACTTGATAGAAATTCAACTTATCAGGAAACGTAACGTAATACACGGTAATTAATTAATCAGTCAATTATTAAATTAAATTATGAAATTGAAAGAAAAACGATATTTTTATGGCAAGAGAGAAGAGAGGACGGAGAGGGAGCAGCTGCGAGACTGATATTTTTCTTTTCTCTCGTTGGAGCAGACGGCTAAGGTACAAGTGAATGCAAGGTTGCCATCATTTACTCAGCGAGTTTTTTCCGATCTTGTACGATCGGAAAAACCCGATGTAATCACATATCCACCCCACGTATGGTGTTAATTTATCACCATGCATTGTTAATTTGTCACCGTGTGGTGCCAAAAATTATTGACACCAAGGCGGTGGAGTCACATATCCATGTCACGCGGTGGTGTTAAATTTTAAACCGTATGGTGTAAATTATGACACCATTGGGGACAAAATTTACACTATGCGGAGACAAATTAACACTAAAAATAACCCCATTAAATTTATAGTAGCGGATTTTTTGCAGTGGAGAAAGTCACGTTGCATTGATGATCTCTTCCCTCATTAGTAATGAGTCATTACAGACGAGTGGTGACTAACCAATGGTGAGATTTAAAAAAATCCAAATTCGAATAGATATTTATTTACATATAATTATTATACACTACTTTTGACAAAGTGTTAATTAAGAAAATTAATTTTTTATTTCACCACATTCAGAAATCTTTATGTTGACACTAATGCACAAATAATGTGCTATATCTAAAATGCGCATGCAGTAAATTACTACTAAGATTGAAGATTAATGCAATCCACTCCCACTGGTGAGTAGTGGTAATTTGTCATAGGGAAGATTCCGTCTAGTAAATAATTAAAAGTGTCCATGTCACTAATCTGAAAACTTTGCAGTAGTTGTGGGTTTCATTAATAAACTACAAATTTATCTCTAAATATGACTTGAATTAATTTGGCAACCAACGAATTTGTTTACCGAACAAATGCATGTGAAATCATGCAAATATTTGAACGGCATGTAAACAAAACAAATTTATGAATTCAACTCTCTCTTTATTTCTCTTCCTTTCCATAACTTGTGCCACTAATGTCGTTACTAGGACCAATTTTAAGTCTCGAGTTTGTACAGAAAACTCAAAAAAAACTCAAAAGCCATTTTTTAACATTGTCTTGGTATTGGAAAAATCTCATATTTTGATAGAAAAATTCAAAATTTTATCATATAAAATTCCAGATTGCAATATTGGCTGATATGAGAGAAAGTTCAAAATAATTTTATTTTTTCAAAATATAGCTGCTAATTACATTTTTGCAACAACATGACTATCACGTAGCCGGTCGTTGGACCTTGTTTTGGTAACTGCGTGAATGTCACGTAGTAGGTAGGCATTGGGTTAAATTAAGTGATAATCTAAAGAATATATGTTAAACGTTTTATTCTGAAGCTTGTAACTGAAATAGATATACATACATACTGCACTACCCTATATAAAATTAATTCATCCCAAATTATAAAAAATCCAGAGACCAAGAAAATTTTTGAATACCCCAGTAAAAGTTAGAGCTTTGATGTAACATAAACAATGTATATGTACAATGGACAGCATATCCAGTCACTCTCGTCCAGCCGGCGTAAAGACGAATCCATATGAATTAATTATAAATTTAAGATTAGAGGATAGGAAACATGTCGAAAATGAAAATACGTGAAAATATGGATCCGATTTAACAGAGGTAAGTTTAAATTGTAAAATTTTGAAATTTACAAAGTCCCCTACCATTACCACGTTGAGATGAATATCCTAATTGTGTCTGGAATCGTTCACGTGAAAAAATATGGCCTAATGGCTGATAACACTAGTTCACGTTGTTAGAAAATAGGAGAGGATGTAAAATCATTCTTCACATTTTATTGCCTTGCTAAAAGGTCTAATTTAGCATGTATGTAAGAATGTATCAATAATTCGTTTTATGACAGCCTTGGTCACAAAAATATTCTAAATATATGAGTATCGGCATTCCTGCCTCTTCAATATCCGTGTCCCAGTTTCCAATCTAAATCAGGAATTGTTGTATGAAATTGGATGTCAATATAAGTGTGTCCATTCAATGAATAAATAATTATTCTGATTTCCGACAGCCTCTCGCTCGCATCTCTGTCATTCTTTCAGCAGTCACACACGTCTGGCTGGATAACATACCCATTCATTAATAACCAATTGAGAAATTCAGGGGTTACCAAATTAACACCCGGTGCATATGTATGCACCACAATTGGTGCATTATGTGATATTGTAATATTGGGTTTGCTCCCAATTTGTATGGCTGGTGGCTGCGTAGGAAGTTCTTCCTTTTTAGGTGGCAATTCCACTATGTTTGTAGAATTTTCTCTATTTTGCCTGGTGACATTTGGAACTGGGTTGGATAATCCGTTATCACCGGAATTTGGGGAAATGGTGGTCGATTCCTCGTCAAAATCTTGCCCGCTGTAATCTCGAGTGGTGGAAGATAACTGGTCCCCTCGAGCCGTTATTACAAAAGCCATCTAAAATTTGAATTATTTTAATTTGAGTTATCCACATATTTAATAAGATCAGCGAGTCATAGTTAAAACTATATTGCGAACCAACAAACGAGATCAAATTCTACTTTTATTTCCAGAGAGGCTAAAAATTGCGCGGACACCAATTGGCCAATGCTACTTTTGAACTAGGATATGACTTAATGTTGCTTAAATAAAGAGATTATACACCTGGGAAAATGTATGTATGTGAGGACAATTTTTATCACAGAAATTACACTTAAAATTGTCGTATCAAAAAACTGTTTTTATAAAATCGAAACGGTTGTAATTTGAGTAGAACATAATTATTTTTAAACGTTACTGTTTTTTTTGTAAGCTCTTAACCTCTTTTTGACCAAAGTCGATATATTGCGTATTTGAAATCAAGACCCTTAGAGACCAAATGCATCATATGATGTAGATAAATTTTCCATTGGCAACTAACATCGAAGTTGAAAATTGGTAAAAACTGAAAAACTTCATTATGAAAAGTGGAAAACTCCATGGTGGAAAGCCGGATTTTTTCAGCCTAATTTTTGAATAATGTCTATATCAACTCCATGTAAAAATATGGAATTTTCATTTTTTTCGAATTTGTATCAGTTTTGAAAATTGACAAAACTCAAATTCGCGGGTCAGTGGCAACAAGGGCTTTGAAGTTACGGTCAAAAAAAGGTTAACCAAGTAGATAGATTCTTTTGGTAACTAATTTCTAATTTCCCAGGGGATAACACCCAATATGTTTAGGAACTTGTAAAAATTACCAAAATTCTTTGATGAATTTTTTTTTACTTACCGAAGTGGTGGCAACTTTAAGAAAAAAAATTGTCACCAAGTATAACTTTAAAGATTTGGAAAACTCCATTGTGGAGAATGACTGTAACGTGGACTAGATGTGAAGATGTCAAAGATTTGTGACAAAGTGATCAGAACATGATGCCTCTTCTCGACTAAATGGAACAATTATGTACACACGGATGACAAAGGAACAACCGAACTTTCTAGGCTGTCCATTACAAACACTAACGGTAATCAAAAACCACCGTTAATAATTAACAACCTTTGTTGAGATAAGGTGTCAAGTGGTAAATGATAAATACACAATGTAAATGTGTTACCTATAATAATTACCCACTTAGAACTTTCCACGAAAAAATGTCGTGAACCTTCCTAATAATTTGCTGTAATTTACATATTAGGTAAACAAGTATGATTATGTACCACATAATTTCGGTACTGAGGGAGAAATTAGTGTTCAAAGTGACTACTATGAAAAAGCTTGGCAGGATTTTCATTAGTAACTTTACGGCAAAAAATATGTAAATAATTGTTTTGTACAAAAATCTCCAAAGTTGGCAAAATACAAAATTTTGTGGTGACCACAATTGCCAAATTAGGCATCATGATTCTGCCAGTGTGCAAGCCAGACGTGGACAAAAATGAAATGACTGTACCAATTAGTATTAAAATTAGATTTCCACGGAAACTACACTTTCACTTTACGCAACAGCACTGGGTGGATGCTACCTATCTGCGAACAATGAATATGGCACGGTTTTCCACAGTGAAGGTGGTGCGGGGTCGAGAATGGGGTCGGGTGATGTATAGTTTACATGCATGAAAATATGCGTATAAATAAATTTGACAAACATGACAAAATTTGACAAATATTTGATGCAATGAAAGTTTGTCACCATACATATTTTTTTTGTTAATTTGTCAAATGATTTGTTACTTTGTATTAGTCATTTGTTACCATGGCGATGATATGGTAATATATGGACCAGACACCGTGTTGAATTAACTCCACATTATATTGTCACAATGTGTCATCCCTGGGTAACAAATTGCTACCACTGCGGCGACCCTACAAACATATGCTACCCGTGCAAAAACTCGTGCAAAAATTATTTTGAGTAAATATATTAACCATTTCTAATTATATAAATAGCCAAAATGGACATGGACGCCTCTTCCTCCAATAAATACATCAATTTTTCCTTTCTATCAGCAGCAAGACTAGACACGACTTTAATCTGCGGTACAGGATGAGACATTTAATAGATAGGTCGTATCCTCACTATGTACATAATCAATAATCACACTCTCGCAAATATTTATTCCCCATCCGTTAATTTTCTGTTCCATGAAAAACTTGATATCAAAAATAAATATGTGTGTGTGTAGGCTCAAATAACTGCAATGAGTTGTTTATCTCTGACACATTTGTACAGCCTCATGTCGCATATTATTTCTCAGAATATGGTACATGACAGAATTCATTGTGGTCGACGTCCTTCTCCGAAACAATTGGACCGGATGCACCACACCGATCCAATTTAAATATGCTTGGAGAAATAACATATTGATAGTACTCAAACTATTTTTGAACTAATTCCTATTTCCCTATTTCAATTTAGTCTCAAAACAGACCGGACGTATCTTGGAGATAGTATATTTTTAAATGAATAAAAACAGGAAACTAAACTTAAATTGCCTTAAAATTATTTGAAAGTTCCAATTTATTGCATTAATTGTTACGAATAATAAATACAAATGTTATCGACTAGATTTACATAATACATTTAGACGATTGCAAATTAATTATGATGAAGTAAATTTAAGCAGAAATTGTAGAGGATATATACGGGTAGGTAAAAATTATGGAAAGAAAGCATAACTATGTAGAAATGCATATAGGATCGCAATTATAAGGTAAAAATACTCTTTTTTTAGCAATATCAAATACTTGTATAAACTGGTAAAGGAAAATTATGTACATGGTTAGATACCAGTGTTCGCCCTAGCAAAAATGCGCTTTTTTGAAAAGCATGCTTTTTTGCTTATAAAGCGACTTTTTGCTTATCAGAATCTGATGCTTTTTTTGCTGTTTTGCTATATTGAAACTTATAACATGGGTAGTTGTGTAGTATGCCGCTAGATGGCGACTGCTAAAACAGCAAAAAAGCAAAAAAGCATGAGCAAAAAAGCAAAACAGCAAAAAACTATGTAAAAAGCAATTATGCATTACAGCCTTCCATGCTTTTTTGCTTTTTGGCGAACACTGTTAGATACATACATACTCCAACAATATCAATATATATAAATCCGGGGGATATACATGTTAATATTCCGCTATGCAGAGTTGTGCTAATCCCCAATCTGGATTAGTGGATTACGGATTGGGATTAGGGATTACCAATCTCTAATCCCACAAAATTGGCTAGCAAAACTAATCCCTAATCCCCAATCCCGTATTCTAGGCTAATCCACAATCCAACTTGGGATTAGTTTTTCGACATCTGCCGGCAAATTCGACACTTTTTGTGACAAGATCTGGGTAAAATTTTTAACCGCAGTTGTCCAGTCCTACTCGGCCAACTAACCACTATTAAACTCATTTTTTTCTAAAATTGATCAAATAAAACGCTACAATGGACAGTGAAAATTAAATAAGTTATCATTTATTTTCCATGGAGAATTTTTAAAATTTGTTAAAGTGATTAGCTTTGAAAAAGATATGGGGACAGTGTGTGCACGCTATCAAGAAGGCTAAACATTGGAAAAGCCAATAATTATCAACGGCTTTATCCATCCAACGTCGAACTTTTCAAGTTATTTATCGGTAGTTGAGTCAGCAAATAATTTAAATCATGCATCTTTTTGCAATTAATCAATTTTCTTCATTGAAAAAAATAAGTTAAAACCAGTTCAACAACTATAAAACGGGATTTTGTATTAAAACTAATCCCTAATCCTAAATCCAATCCGGATTAGTTACTCCCTAATCCCCAATCCAGACGAATTTAATAAATAACTAATCCCGAAATAATCCAATCCCGAGGATTGAATTAATCCTAATCCCTAATCCCAATCCCGAAGTGGTCTAATCTCCCAACTCTGCCGCTATGCTGCTCATGATAAGTACTAGGCTGCTCATCTCCAGTATTTTAGTGTGGTCTTGGTTGGCAAACACCCACCAGATTAGATTAGCTTATCCAAACGTTAACATTTGCACATCATCCGTCTCGCCAGCCTCATACATAAGTTACTCATTCATCCGATCCAGCAGCTGCCCAGTTTTTTGTTCAAATATAAGTGTTATTTTCATAATTTTGTATTGTGAAAAATAGAAAAGTGTTACGCACAAAATTTTCTACATCGTGATTCCTCCATCTTTCTTTGGGATGTCGAGGTAAATTATTTTGTAATTTATCAATTTTTGAGTGTCTAACTTAACATAAAATCCATCAAGGTTAAACTGGAATGAGAATAATGATGTCTTTTTCCAACTTTAGAATGATTACACCGGCGGACTTTACTGACAAGAAGGAGAACATTGTTAACCTGTCATCTTCGCAAACTCATGTACAATTACTGGCTGGGATAATTCCAAACAAACTGAAGAGTCATGTCGGAAAGATTCTTGGAAAAACTAACAAGTTTAAGGACAAGTACCCTTGCACCATGTTCTACCTGATTTCAAGTAATTCCGGAAATCGACTTCTTCTCACAGGCTCTGGCTGTTGGGGTTGTGGGGTTGAGGGAGAATATGCAGAATTTGAAAAAAATTACAACGCCATTAAGACCCTCTCAGTGGACGGCTTCTCTGTCGAATTAATTCCGCGTTGCTATACAGTAAACAAGCATAACATGGATATTAACAGCGATGAGAGTAATACCCCGGTCAGATCTTCCACGAATGTAAACGATTTTAAAACTTTTGACCAAGTTCTCCTATATGTGACCGGCTTGGATCGAATTTTTGACGTTTTAAGGAGCAAATGGGGCAAACTTAGTAAAGAAATGCCTCAACTGCTTTCTCCAGAGTGGAACAACATTCATCCAAAACTCACCTGGTTGGGAAACATGATGGCCACTGTAGGCATGGTCACAGAAGATATTAAGTACGTGAAGATGTTTTTTTGGGGGGCTCAGTACACACAACTTTTGCTCGACTTGGGCAAGATTGACTGCTCAGATAACAAGTATAAGTACCTATGGAGTTTGGTCAACAAACTACCAACACTTTATTTTCTCGAGTTGGGCAAGGTCGACGCTACAGATACGGATTTTAAGAAATTAGGAAACCTCAACAAACTCCGGAAAGAATTGATGAAGTTCGACTTCCGGCAAAAATTGAAAAACTTTTATTCAAGTGTTGAATACACAAAACTTTTACACGACTTGGGCAAGATAGCAACAGATACAGATACATATAGCCATTTTAAGAGCCTAAACGAATCCGTCAAAAACTTAGATGTGTTTTTTTTGAGTTTTGTGACGCAACTCATCAGCCAAAAATTTGCTGACTCAGATGACAATTTTAAAAAACTAATCACATTAAAGGATGGCATGAACAGTATCCCTACAATAATAAAGCTTCTCGAACTTTGGCAGCTTTACCTAAATTTTGTGGACCCCATGCAAACCCCACGAACTTTCGATCTCGTTTTTGACTCTTATGCGGGTAATCCACCAGCCAATTTCCAACTCTTCCTTCAGGATATATGGGCCGACTTGCTAAAAATGGGTGTCCGGTATGTATTCTACGCTTTTTCGCGATGTGCGGAGGACAATTTGCTCGAATATTTGTACAACCATCCCGATACCCTTGACGATAAAGGGTGTCATATCATGTTCGCGATTAAGAATAGTAATATAACTGACTACACCAAGTCCATAAAGATCAAGGCCCCTTGTGATTTTTGCTACTGGACCTTTCCCCATCATTTCGACAAAATTGGGGAGAACCAACTGGGAAAGTGGGGAAAGACTTTGAATTTGCCAGCCTTTGAGAATCCTCAAGCTTACTTGTCGTCATTGCTACGGCGTAGGGAGTTTGATGATTTTAAGAATTTCTATCAAAGGATTCAGCGCAACAACGGATTCAGATTTATGCCTGCGCAAGACGGCAAAACAGTCCTACATGTGGCATCCATGTATCACAGTGAAACCGAATTTGTAAACTTTATATACCGTGAGGAACCTGACTTGTTGGAAAAAAGAGATAATGATGGCAGAACTGCACTGCATCACGCCGTTATCAACGGACACCCCAAAGTTGTCAAGTTCTTACTAGAAATCACAAAGGAGTATGACGATCCCGATTATTTTCCCTTTGGGAATACTGCATTCTCTTACGCTGTGGCAAATCCAAATCAAGCCATCCTGACTTTATTCTTCGAGAGGAAACCCAAGCTGCTGTCCTACCATCCAATGTTGAGATTTAAAAATATATTGACCACTGCAGCAGCCACATCGACTTTAAGTACGGTGGAGAAAATTTGCAGTTTTCAGGATGCCCCGGATGCCCTCAATTCTCCTGGCTACCAAGGAAAAACTCCACTCTATGCGGCATGGGAACGTGGTAATTACGATATATTCAAGTTTCTATTGAAGAAGGGGGCCGAACTAAACATAATTCCAGAACTAGCAACTTTGTGCGAAATATTTTTGGGATCCATTCCGAAAAGAAGATTCGACATTGTCCGGCTTTTGCTAGATGAGAAACCCGAGTTGCTTGAAGAGTTTCAAAATTGCACTTGCGGCAATCCTGATCTCTGTAATGCGCTCCATTTGGCAGCAATTCACGGGAGTTTGGACGACATCAAATTATTGACGAGAAATAATTTTGCAGTGACTAAAACTTCCACGGGGAGAACGCCTTTGGACATCGCGAGAGAAAGACGATTTCAAGAAAAGGATATTATTGACCACTTGGAAATCTACCAAAAAGTTAGGGTTGACGACCCTTTCTAAATTTAACAAGCTCTTAACTTCCGACTATGACTTATACCTTCGAGGAGATTGAACCTCAGTCCCAAATTCGTTTTATTGCCATGCCTGCCGGCACCAATATTATAATACGACCCTTTCCCTCTAAATTTAGTTGAATGCATAATCCCAGGAATTGGCTACTTATATTCTTCACGTATCCACCAACTCACTAAACCCTGAGCATCCATCCGGATTCAATTAATCTTTGAGAAATGCTGTCTTTATTGTCTCTTCTTTCGTGACAATTAACAAAAAACTAACTTTAACCCATCTCCACTAATCACCCGCACTGGAATACGATAGCTAATTGTTCTTGCCACAGCAATTTATTTTAAATGGGTAACCTCCATTATTTCCCACTCACAATAATAGTCAGCCTGGGGGCAGTTTTAGGGATTAGACTCGCTCAGGAACCCTTCCAGAAGGACGAGTGGTCCGACGTTTTTCTCCGTTTGGACAAAACTGGAGAAATCCTGGAATCTTCACAGTACTTTCGTTCCAGACTGATTGTGCAGAGGGGTCGTGTCGCTTGTCAATCCGCCACCCTCCTTCGTGACGGGTTCGAATTGGAACGCTACAAAATTGGAGACCATGACTGGGAAATAGTTTCGAACATCGAGCTAAACTTGAATCAACACTCGATCGCCATGCTTCGGGTCGTGGATGGCCCAATTTCCTATCACTATTTAGGAATCTTGTTCAACATTAGTGGCACCATGGCAGCCATCTTTAAAGAAAGTGAACTACAAGATGTTCAAGTGACGAGGTATGAACATAAAGGACAACAAAACACACAATTTGCCTTCCTGGGTGACGACATCAATTGGAATTCGACAAGTGTCGCAAAAGTGGAAATGGTGGAGACTTTTAAGGGAGGGGAGAATTTCACAATCATTTACGTAATAACCATTATTTTAGACAACCAGTACGGATGTAATTTCTAACAATAGATGACATGACCCCCATCCAAGTAGGATTTACATATTATACTTATTATTTTATAGAGTGACCATCCCGTTCCGCCTGGTTTATGGAGGGCATCATCACTTCCCGCGAGCTCAATCCCACCGCCAGATACGCGCTGTATTTTGATTAATGTGGCAAAATTTGACTCGCTATATTTTGACATTGAATCAATCGATCTGGTAAAAATTGATGCCTTTGTCGTGATTTGTGATGAGGGTTGGTTCTCTAAATCCAATCGTAACGCAAGCCACAATTTTTGTCTGGAAATTAATCCTCTTCACGAGCAGAAACGTCGCACGGGGCAAACACCATATCACAAAAGGAAACCTGACACCGTAGTATCATTTAAGTATCTCAACCTGCGTCCAGTCGCGTCCCATAATTTAGGACATGTGGCGAGTTGGCCGGTTTTTTGCAATGATTGGATCCGTTTATGGAAATATGATGGGAAAAAGAAGTTTCTCGGATTTTCTAGCGAGGTGAAGATCCTTGAAGGAAGATCAGTCGTGTTGGTGTCATACTTTGGTATGTTATTTAAAAGTGGTGATCAATATTTTCACAAAATCGCGTATTCGCGCATGATTATTTAAATGTTTTTTGTCATTTAGAAAAATTCCCTACGGCGGGCAGCGGATCGGTGGTTACCCAAGCAAAAATTCAGCCACCTCATGTAGTCTGGGTGAGCATAATTTTGACTCTGAAAAAATAAAACGCTTATCCACTTTAAAAAACATATTTTCAGGAAACCTGCTCAATGCTACATGAATGGGCGTACGTCCCGGAAAACATGCCATGGTATAACTATTTCATCGCGGCAAAGAGTCCACTTCCATACATCGGAGCGTCCTGCATCGCCAACGACGTTGTAATTGTGAACTATGCCGATCACGGGGTCTGCATCGACGCGACTGTTGTGGATTGCGCGGATTTGTTTGGAAGTTCGTTTCAAAACTTAACCTTCGACCCGGAGGAACCGCGTCGGTCATATTTTTGCGCTGAACTACAAGCACCCAATAAAACTATTGCAGCCAAGGAAATACTTCGATTTGGAAATCCACACGAGATCAAGGGCAACTGGATGTCATGGACTATGCCTGGACTGTACGATTTGTACTGTCCGGCGACCTGGATTAGTGATCATCAGGCGGGCGGGAAAAAACCAAGGATGAATTTAGTCGGGGAGTCCAGATACCGCAAAATAGTGGGCGGGATGCCCATAGTTGTTTTTGCATATCTTTTTGGTGACGAGACCCACCGGTGTATGGGGGACTGTCTGGAACTTGCGACTAAACGAATCAATCATTAAAATATGGGACTATGTAGTAGAGCCGGAGTAGATGTTATACGGTGTTAGCAATATAATGGAAAGTTATGAAGTATGTACGTAATGAAATTTACGGATGTGTAAAGTAATTAATTTGATAGTGATTACAAACCTAAATATACCGAATATTAAGTAACAAGTATTCCTAAGAATCAATATATCGGATGGGGTTTTATATAATTTGGAAAAAAATAAATTAATGTGATTCTAAATAGAATGATTGGGCATGTTGATTACTTATTTATGAATAGATAGAGCACTTTTGTACAAGTATTTTATAGAAAGTGAGAAAAAATCAGTGAAAATTTGAGATTTATTTTCGTTGGTGGGTCATATCTCCTCTAACATTTTATCACTTATTCATGCATTTTAATCAGAACTTTATCAATAATTTACAAGATGTTTTAATATTAAAGAAAGTCAAAATTTTCACTATTATGGATTGTGGTACAATATCCACTCACATTGTAGTTTTGGTCCAGATTTCCAGACCACATGAACTGATCGCCCGATTTCCTTAGTTTCAACGGTGTACAACCCGGGTGTGCACGCTTTCGGCAATGAAATAAAAAACGATACAAAGCGAATCGAACAAAAATTGGCATGGTTGTTTGGATTTACCTTTGTTGCGAAACCCATTTCAACAGGTACAGGTGGGCAGACACAGTCCATAGAGTTTTTATAGTCAGTGGGCAGCACGTTTCCTTTGCAAATTTTTGCATCAAATTTAGGTTGATGGAAGAGCTGGCTTATACGTGTCGGTACAGATTCATAAAATAACTCATGGGCTCAGGTGTGGTCGCACGCAACACCAGTTGGATTTTCTTAAATTAGAGTTTACTTTATAATTTAGGGTTATGTCAGAGACGTAGTTAGTAACCAACAAAGGTGAGTCGATGTTATGTAAAACTGAAAAATTACTTAATTGAAAGTGGCCCGGGACGGAGGAATGGAGGAAGCCAGCTCGCTATTTTCGTTAGTAGTAAGTTGAGGTTGGGAATACGAGAAAATATGAGACAATTCACTTTGCAACAAAATGATACGTACATGTATGTATACGTAATAAATGTGAAAGTGAAATTGTATGGATGATTTACATTTGATCATCATTTATTTACGAGCAAGGGGGAATGGAGGAGAAGGGGAATGACATATTTTTTTGACCATTTCTCACTTTCAGTCTCATCTAGTACTATAAATCTACGGGCTGAAGCAAAGAAAGCTGATATCTCAAATAGTTCAAAAATTGTCCCTTACACCTTCAAACACGGCTCAGCCTACGGGGTACACCCAAACTTTTTGAGTACCATTCACGTTTTTGACCATTTCTCACTTTCAGTCTCATCTAGTACTATAAATCTACGGGCTGAAGCAAAAGAAAGCTGATATCTCAAATAGTTATATTGCGGTATTTACCTTGGTTAACTTTTACTTAGCATAGTTACATCATATTACCGCCGAAAATTACAAGAATAAGAAATATGAACATCTCCAGGACAGGTTCCTTTTTGTCCCCGTAGCCATTGAAACGACAGGAGTATGGGGCAAGGAGGGTCTGTCCCTTATCAAGGAAATAGGCACCAGGATTACAAGCGTCACGGATGAGAAGAGGGCTACATCTTTTCTTTTACAACGAATGAGCATTTCCGTGCAGATAGGAAATGTCGCCGCTATTTTAGGATCTCTATCCTAAAGACAAGACAAGAGCTTGACGAGATTTTTCTTTTTTAATTCACGACATATATGTAGGTTAGGATTTTTTAAATGTAAGGTTAGGAATAATATTGTACAACGCTGGTCGTTTAGCTTTTCCGAATAATTATGTCATTCTACGTTTACTCTGCGAATACAAACATTTACTCATTGCAATAAATCATATTACCATTTTAACAAATGGAAACGTCGCCATTCTTAATCTTTTCTATCTTGCCAGGGTGTTTTTATGTAAATAAAAGGTGAACAGCACTCGTCAAAATCTTTAAATTACGCAGGCCCACTTTCATACTTGGCATATGGTATATAATCAATGCTATAGTTTGGCTACACATTGCAATAAATGGAGTGTAAAAGGACCCAGTGCCAACTTTGACCACACTGTTGTCTGAACTTAAAATGCACTTCGCCCAACTTATCAAAATGCAGATAACCCTATGTTTATGGTTAATCTATTAATGTCACTTTTCTTTCAATTTATTTCGATGGCAAGTCTCCACTAGTTTTTCATTTTATGAAAAATTAATTACTGGTTTTGTTTACTTTTTCAAATCATTAAATTATTGTAGAATTAGTGCACATTTCTTTCAGTTGAATTTATTTTTTACGTATTCAACTTTATGACGCTAAAATGAGGTTAAAATGACATGATGTGAAAATAATAGAAATATGAAATTCCCAGAGGTCGGTAAATACTTTGACAAAATACAAGATAGAATATTTATTTTATATATTTTTACTAAATGAAATCTAGGGAATTTTACTTAGTATTTTGTATCTTGACTGACGAAATATTTTGTAACTTGTAGTTTTATTTTGTCAATTTTCGTCGTGAGTAAAATTATTTCAAATAAAAAGTGCAGTAAATAAAATATTTTTGTTAATAATCGCATCATTTCAACTTTTTCTTCTGTATTTTATACTTGTTTCATATTTCCTGTCACTCTATCCGACGTAAATGTTCAAAGTTGTCAAATTTGTAGTAACTTTACGAAAAAAGTGAAATTTCAGGGAAATTTTTCTTATAAAAACAGCATAATTTTTGAAAATATTTTATATTTTGAGAATTTATTTGTAATAAATATTTTGTATAAATATCTTTTATTTTGACTAAAGTTGGCAGACAAAAGTTTATTGTATAAACACAATGTTTGTCAAATGTTAGGATAATAATGTTTGGAAACTAACTGTGTTGTTGTATTACTTAGTAAGTGCAAATGATTCTGGTGATGTTGACTGCTGAGTGCCAGTAAAAGTTAATTACAGATAATCAATCAGTTTTAAATTTAGTTAATAAGTAGGTTAGTAATGCTTCATATCTATATTGCTTTTTGTGTCATGGTTTTCAAACCAGTTTCCCCAACTGATATCCATTTACACTTGAATAAAGGATGACTTGACTTGATTGCTGAGCAGAAAATGTGTATAGCAATTACTGTAAACCCTACTTAACCCAGAATGGGGTGGCACAAGCGAATCTGTTTTTACAGTGGAGTGAGGGTAACATTACCATCACCTCACCAGAATAAAATGGAGTGCATACAAGAATACAGGCGCAAATGCAAAAACTGAGACAGACATTGTAACTGCGCAGGAATGCACTTGAATAGACAAATCCTTGCATTATGTACATTATTATTATTCCTATCATTACATTGCACAATTATTAATTAAAACATGTGTTCATCGTTAATTTCTTCTAGCAAAATACCTTGTTCAATCACATTTCTTTCACAAATGTAATTACACAATCACCACACAATTCATACAAGAACTTAACGTTGTGCAAACAAGGATTCCTGCACTCGATCATGAATCCCAAAAATGCGGCGGCCAGAATCAACGTACCCAAGATAAACAATGATTGCACATATTTAAATAAAACAGGTTCATCCTCATATCCCAAAGAGGTATCTTGCACCCCAGCCATAGCCTTCCTGAATTCAACCTGGACAAGTTCACCATAAACGCTACGAACATACACCAAAATAGAATCCCATTCGTCCAATCTAGTCCACAATTTCGCAATACCAAAGCTTGCCAATTGAGCAAGGCGACCTCTAAATACTTCCGACATAAAGTTATTGTCCACATAAGTCACCATAACTATGTGGAAGGGCGTATCCTCTCTAACATTTAGCACATGTTGTCTCCCACTAATTTTTAACACCCTTTCCCAAAATACCTCCACATACGCAGGGTCCATAATGGCGAAGGGCTTCACCGTGTCCACCCAACCTTTCGCATGACGCAGTGCCCGGGATTCTGTAATGTTTTCAAAAACTTCCACATTCCTCTGAAATGATGTCGTGTTAACGAGTATCATTCTCCTCTCCATTTCCCTTAACTGGTTCATCCGGCCTGAAATATTCTTAAAGATTGCTTTATACACGGGAATTATCTTACCCTGTAGCATTGAGGACTGTGTACCAACACCCGTAGCATACCAGCTAGATGTAACGAAGTGCAGGTCAGAGTCAATCAATCCACTAAATGTCGTCGGTACCGGTGGCTGTGTCATGGCCGTTAAACAGGAGAAAATCTCCCCTGTGTATAATTGATCCATGATCAAGTTGCAGCCAAAGAGCATCCAAACTGTGACAATTGGAACTCCGACCCAATTGTTGTTGAATATTTTCAGGCCTTCGCCATTAATTTGTCGCATCAGCATGCAAATTACTTCAAGAAATTCACTCATTGTTCTTACCACAAATGCTGTAAAGTTTCGGTTTTTCTGAGGGTTACTGAGGTGTGTTATAATGCAAATTACTACACAAAAACCCAACCAAACCATCCATATAATTGCACTGAACGGGGATAAAAATGCAGGCAATCCCTCCAGTGCAGGCCGGCGTTTTGCAATGGTTGAAAGTTTGACGATATTATACTGAATCTCAACCAGAATCGTATCCTTCTTAACAAAATCTCGAAGTGTCAATGAACTATGGATCACATGAAAATAAAATGTGGTAACAGGATCCCTGGAGCCCTTGGAATAAACAATGCTGCAATTAAAACTTTGAGACAAATATTTCATTATACACATGAAGGAATTGACATATTGTTTCGTATTCGCGAAAGAAATCAAGTCACATTTAAAATGATTTGGTGAAGCTGGTAGTTGCACGAAAACAGCGACATCTCTCTCGTGGAGATTATGATTGAGGGAATACCACACGGATCTAATCGTGTCAAGGGTTAAGCTGTCAGAAATGATCAATTTCACTGGTTTCGAAACACCCAGAATATAATGGACAAATAAGAATTGAGGGGAATGGAAATTATACAGGACTAGGATAGAGCATCCACGGTGATTAGTATAGCCCTTCTTGTTCACCGGATTCCAAGGGTCATCCGCATTCTGGAAAATGAAGGAGGGCGCCAGACGCAAAATGAGTTAGGCAATAATTATTTTTGCAATTTTGTTGACTTTGGGCGGCTTCAGTTTGGAGTTCAGATGGAGGAATGCCACTGATCTTCTTCTCGACCCAAGATGTCGTTTTA